TTCTTAAATAATTGGACAGTCCTAATTAAATTAACCACATTACAATAAACTAGCAAAGACGAAGTAAATATTCAGAAGTAGTGTAGACAATTGTAACAGTGATTATCCTAAAATATCGTTATAAGGCACAAATTTGTTTTGTTATTATACAAAACCGACGCCCCATTTAAACCCGTTAAATCAAATACTATTTGATACCGTGATGTTTTTCATACACTAAGAAATAGAAGTGCACACGGGCTGACAAATAGACAGAATTTACTACTTCTAACTGCTGAGTAGACAGCCAAATACGGAGGCGGACACGCAATCTTTCTATTGCTTGGCAAACACACCAACCATTATGCAAATTATGCATTACACTCAGGGGCCTATGAAATAAGCACTAATACGGCGTACATATGATGAATGCTACACGAATTACACGTACGACGTCCCATAAATGTACCGGGTATATACATGTACATTGAATAAATGTGAAAACATGCGCATTTGGATTGACTTACCACACGTTTCTGCGCATGCCCGGTGTCTTACATCCAAAAAGTAACATATGATGTGCCGTTTCTTTCTTGGCATGTGGTTCGAACCCAGCTATTTAAATAAATGCATACATACATAGATTCGATTAGAATGTAAAATGAGATACTATAGTATATTACAGTAGTATTTGACATTGGAATTTGGGTTTTATCTTCTTCAAGTATTATGGTAAATGGTTTATTTAAAACTTACATATATATGTGAATTATTTGTTTAAGCTCTTCTACACATGTGCATATGCTTCATATTGCATGGTAAGCACGACTGCGTATTGGTTTTTACTGTTAACGACTTTCACATTATCGTAGCTTATGAAAAATTATCTTGAAAGTGAATTTTCTGATTAACGTATTAGAGTCATAAGGATGGTCGAAAAATCGGCAAACAAGCCGAATTTAGGTTCTATGGCGGAAATTAAAAATATTGTATTTTTATCGCAATATAGCGCTGACAACATGTTTTAAACATTTGTGAAGATCTAACTAAAACATTGACGAGAGACCACATTTTGTTTGTTTTCAGACGCCTATTATATACGTCATATTTAAGGTGGTAAACTACGATTAAAACTTATTATCCATTTTTACATGTTTTCCAAAACAATTACTGGGTAAAAAACAACAACCAAACGTTGATGACTTGTGTATAAACCAACAATTATATTACACTATTGAAACAAAAGAATGTGATAATTTGTACGTTCGTTCGTTTGTGTTTGATAGATCCAATGTCAGCGTAATCGTTGAGTCTACGTTAAAAACAATGAAACGGCCGTGATTCATTTTCTTCGTGACATGACTGACAGTATTTTTCGCCCTTTACGTATATTAAATAGTGTCTACGTGACACACAGTGTGTGCGCTACAAATATTTGCGGTGGCGTAACGAGCAGGATAATTGATGTCGTCTTTGTAACGCAATGAGCATTTTATTGCCGCATACAACATGGTCCTTGCCGGGGTCAACATCACCTACTATAATATTATTGAAGCGGTTGATACTATGGAGACTTTTACGAGGCCAGTCCTGGATGAAGTAAAAATCGGATGAGAATACAAATTCGATATATGACTTTGCACGTAGTAATAATAATCTTTATTACCATCTCAACTACAATATTACTATATCGCCGAGAATGAGTAGAATTAGTATTTGTATATTGTCGATAATTTTGCACGTCTCACTGGAGAAAATCGTACGCAAATACACAAGTAATAACCGTTGTGTCGGCGCATGTGAGTCATTGAATGTATTGCGGTTCTAGTTATTTTCCCGTTGCGTTAAGAAAATGAATTTTCATTTCAAAAATATATCAGCTTAGGGCGGAGTCTCGTTACTACTGAGAATTGAATAGAGGTCGGTCATTGTTATTCATGATTCATTTGTATTTACGGTAATCCGATGATACGCCGAAGGCCGTTTAATAGTCAACGAGAGATTCGCAACATTTCTCCTTACTGTAATCTTCTGCAGTACTTACGACGTCATCGTTTTTTTCTCTCGTCCCCATGGCAACGCACAATATTCTATTCAAATGAATCCATCTCGGGCGCGCGACCTCAATCAAGAAATGTACATACATTGGAAGGAAGGAATTTTAATTCGAATCTAAGATGATAGGTTTCCAATCAAAATTGTTCAATTCAATTAAATTATTGTCAATTTCATTGATACAAACAGAGTAACAAAAAAAATCAATTGGCGTATGCACATATATATTTAGTATATACATATTTTTTTATTATTTGAAAGCGATCGATTAGAGTCTTCGTGTAAATAATGTTATTTTAAAATTTATCTAACGCGCTGCGGTTTTTCATCAGTAGATAAGTTAAAATGTAAATGTATGTTTGTTTTATATTATCAATAACTAAAAGAAATAATATCACGTGTGGTGATAACAAATGTTTCCATCATTATCATCGATTGTTATTTTTTTTTTTGTAAAAGTGACGTATACTTACTTATGTACATTGGTTCTTCTGGCATTTTTAATGGGTGGCAATAATACGTGTCGTGCTGTGAAAAGTAACAAAATATATTAGGTCAGAACGCTTCAGTTTGTCTGCCCGTCAATGAATGTCTAAATTTAAATGTCTTGTGCCAAGGTCACGGGTTAATTGATCAAGTTGAATATGATGAATTGGATGATACATATGCCTTTGGCGAAATGTTATGTCATTTCATCACGTCGATCGTCATGCGTCTTATGGACGGAAGGGAATGGGTCGCATTTGTTTCAAAATTTCTTATTTCTTAATCTTTTTTTTCAAGTAATACTAGTCAAAATTACCTTTTGTGCGACCAGATGTGTAAATTTTTTAACACGTTTTACTGTGTCATGTAGCATGGAGCTATATGTAGAATAATAACAGATATAAATAATTGTCATCGCTGAGGGTGATATTTCGTATACATATTATGAACGTCCAAACATTTTACCTCGTGTTTACATATTTAGTACGACAGTTGACTCACTATTTTAAACGACAAAAACGTAAAAAAATAAAGTATATGACGCATCATTATATACAAACACAGCTTCCCTTCGACTCATCGTGATAGTTCAATATTGCAACATAAATACTGCAATACTGTACCAGACTCTTCTTGTCAGCGATAATAATTATTCCAAAACTGGATAATAACACATTTCAGATGTTGTTGTTTTTATTATTAATTAAATTATATGTAGTTCTGTTTGTCTCTCTAAATCGTATATTCATTTTGACGAGTTATGGCATTCTTAATGATTTACAGAGTATTTTATTTTGATATTAAATATAGTATTGTAATCCGACTTATTATAAAAAACGGAGATTAATTAATTGAGGTCAATCATACACAATTAGCCCGTGACGTTTTCGAATTTTCGAATCTCACCAGGATTGTGCTGAAATCAACCGTGTCATAAATATTCATTAAATGAATTTATATCTTACAACATATCGGTGCAACAGTTCAACGATTTTTTGCGCCTCAGTTGAATCCTAACCAATGTACCAGTAATCGTTACACATTTACCCTAAATCCCTCTAAGTAACCAAGGCAACGGATAATATCGATCCACTAATAGCCAGATGCATCTGCGATGGCAAATATCATCTGCAATTACTCACGTACAGTAATTACGATATTTTATTCATGAGACGTCACAACAGTTTTATTTAGTTATTCAATTGACCAATGTAAGACATCCCAACATGGCGACAAAGTTACGCTCTAAAACATCAGCATGACGTCACGAGAAAAAGATGTTTACATATCTAGTCACACATTCAAAATATTCATAAATTAATAGTGACATGTACTTAGAACATTACGACTGATTTTCATACAATAATAAATTACATTTTTTTTCCAAGTACGGAAATTAAACATCCTGTGAAATTCGTTATTTTGATTGGAAATGAAATCAGTATTATAATGATCATTACAGAGACGGTGGGGAGATATAATACGTAGCTTGGCATGTCGAATATTGAAACAACGGGTTGTTGTCGCGAATGATTTCTGAAATTACCGTTCGACATTTGACAATATCATCGGATTTCATAATGCCGTGTGATATACAAAGTAAAAGGAGTAAGTCATGTGCGTTATTTTAAGCCTTATTCGTACCATGACAGTTATTGCGTTATCTCAGCGTCTAACGAGGGATAAGAGGAACCGTTGTTGCGAGTCACTGGAGTTGTTATACAGTTATTTAAATGAACTGTATATTTTTAAAGTTCTCCTGTGCGTCTAGTTACAGGCAGCTTTGAAATAGAACGTTCGGAGACGCGGTATTGTAATCATCGTAAGCATACTTACAACTTGCGGCGACACGTCGGGCATTAGTAAGTCCGTGCTTACATCATTCTTCTTCGCTGCCGCAGATAAGACGAGTAACATAAGTAGAGAAAGGTAAAATCCGACAGCCATGTTGATTTCTTCGGTGCACGCACGAAAGAGTATATAGTTACGGTAAAAGGCGGTGGTTTACTATTTATATATCTCGAATCTGTGACGCTTCGGAGCCCCCTAGCGCACTCAAATTTATCAAAACGATATTGTATCTAAAGAAGCTTTGTGCGACGTTTGCGTTCGGTGTTGCCAAGATTCTGCTCTGATCGACGGGATAAGCCCGACGTGTAGACAGAATTAACTGAACTTTCCGATCTTACACAGTACGTTATGTTAGTTTCGTTTATTATACAATTGCAATATTTGCTTTGCTTCGCGAAAACAAGCTGGTTTGACTTGTTTAACTCCTTCAGCTTTCTGACACGCGCGAAGATTTAATTATCGGAGACGATACCATTCCTGGAAGGGTAAAACGAAAATATATACACGAACGTTAACTGCGATAATTTGTCTGTAAGGCTGGCAAATATCACACCGGTAATACATAGAAAATGCGTTTAAATATCATAAAACAATACACCGGGCGGTTATTGCAAAATAATATTATCGAGTTACTGAATTCATAGCGATAAAATTGAAAACACCCCAGGAAAAATAGACATATTATTAATACATTATTGCTGACGTCACTGTGTACAGGCAATCACTATAAAATGGATAGGGCAAATCGAAGTTTCCTCGCCATTATGAGAAAACTAGATGCGATATTAATGTATAACTCCCCCGATTTATTTCGCCGTTTTAAGGATTTATTAATGGGTTTGGTTAATTGATGATTGTGAAAATCCATCATTTAAATAGTATATTGAGTACGTGCTGGTAATATCTATGATGTCCAGTAAGTGTATCATTTCTTGCGCATGCGTATTTTTTTTTTATTAATAACCGGATGATCATTCGTGTCTCAACTTATACAATTTACATATTTGCAAGTCCGTGTGGAATTAATTAAACAAATTATTAACAAAAAATTATCATTACATATCGATTTTTTGTATATAAAAATGTGGTATTCTGTCGTAACTTCGCAATAAAGGGTAACAATCACCAACACAAACTCGTAAACGTTTTGTCTACAATACGTTTTATACAAGACAAGTTAATTTATTGTTCGTTATTAATTGGTGTAATTATTGTAAGTTAATTAGGTATAGGCTTGCTTTCATCACAAAGCTAGGTGGCTATGTCGTGAATAATTAAGCCGAGCTGTCGTAAAGTGTGAATGATCTTCACAGCAATCACGCAACTTTCTTCTGGTTATGGTGTTGTTTTATTCACCTTCGGGTAATCAGAGATTTGGCTAATTCAAATGGCCATGCATATAATGAATCTGCATTTTTCAATCGCTCTTTGAAAACAAAATAATGTCTCTGTGGTTTGCAATTCCATTAAAACAATCTACTACCGAGGAGGGAGTGTAGTCATAGAAGACCAAGACAAGACAGGACAAGATAGCCCCCTGCGGCGGATCCGGTACGTGATCGTCGTTGCCTGGTGATTGACTAAATGAATGGCAATAAAATTGGAAACAGCCCAGCCTGGGTTTCGTAAGAGTGAATTTAGCCATGGAGTTTTAGTGTATCACGTGCGCCGTTTCATTACTATAACATTACCTTGCAAAATATAGTTCGCGATAAAATGGTTCGTATTTACGTTTTTACTGAAGTCTGACATTAATGAATAGTTCGGATGTCACATACGTTTTTTCCCCACTTTTTGTAGTTCGGTTTCAAATGAAACAACCGCGAAAAAATGGCCGTGCGCCGTAGTGAGGTGATTGACCACAAAATTGAAGGCTGCCTGTGGCAGAGACACTATTGCGTAGAGCGCAAACGCCTCTGGGAAGGAGATTGGGCAATCTCCCAGGCAAACGCGAAAGTATTTTGGAGGACATTTCCATGCTTAATAATGTGCTGTCCACATTTGATGATAGGCAATTTCGATTAAGTGAGGGTATTCGGAAGCAATATTCCTCTTTCGAAAATCGGCCGGTCGATGTGAGTTACGAAATAAAGAAATTCGAGTTAAAAATCAAATCGTTCGATTTTTTGTCTGGTTCGGAAGGCGTTCGTGTGATTTTATTGCGCTCAAGGACGTTCTATTTTCGAACTAGTTGAAACCGGAAATAACGCAACTACTTTCGAACTTCAAACACAAATTTGAATATCGTTATTATGTGTTAGTTTCTGTTGTTTCAAAAATTTTATTATGTATGACAATAATATTTCACTCAATAAACAATATTTCACTAAAATATGTGATTGAAAGGCAACCCAAATTGTAAAATGCAATATCAAGTTCTGCATATAAACACTGTTAACAATATGGAGATTACTAGTTACCTGCGTCCCATTGACGCTGCAGTTCGGCGTCTTCTACACCGATCTGACGCATATCGCGCTAGGTGTGCCGGGAGTTTGTTCGAAATTTCGAACGTTTCGAAGTCAATCGTCGATTGACACGTATTTTACGGATATATTAAATCGTTTCAGAGACCTGTTTACTAAATAATGATAAATGAAACTTAGAAAACTTGTAAGAACAAACTGGGCCCAAATCGCGCAAATTGCAATACGTTTACGCTGCTAGAGTCTGGTTCGGATGGAGTTCTACGCGTGATTTTATTGCGCTCAAGCGGAATTTTAGCCAAAATCGGCTAGTAAGGCGTCATATGACACAGGTTTGTGCTGGGACAGCGCTTCCGGTGACGACACAACGACCTGCGTCCTACCTGCCATTCGCAAAGGACGCCGGGAACCAGCGAAGGCGTCATATGACACAGGTTTGTGCTGGGACAGCGCTTCCGGTGACGACACAACGGGGGGGGGGTCGTCACCTGCGCATGCGTCAGGTGGCCAAAGCGTGTCATTGTTTACAAACAAGCCATGAGCCTTTGCGTTTTGGCGTGCGTAGTTATCATCGCTTAGAACTCAATTCCCACGCGTGCGCAGATGACGACCCTCCCGCTTTAAATACACACTCATTAAGCTGGTGTTGAGACGGTCGTTGTCATACACTAACCTGCACTCTGCACAATACCGTGACCGCCACTAAATAAGCTAAACTAAAATGTGTATTAAGTTAAATTAGAACCGTAATAAACATAAACAACAGAATACTATTTTGTTTTAATATGAGTTTCGTCGGCGCTGTCGCAGTTTGAAGGAGTTTGAATTTGTCGTCTGCACTCCGTCAGCAATGAGAATATTTGCCCATTCGTGTTTTACTTGTTTGTTTGTTTGTTTGTTTTTCAAAAAAAAATGAATTCAGAATAACTTTTTTTAATCTGCAAACGGATAATTAAACTTTATATGACGAAGATTGTTAAATTATTTTTCGGGTGGAGCTAACTATTTGTCTTTTAAAAATCCGAGAATATAATAGTATGGTGTTGAATACAATTACTTGGAAAACAACGTCCCTAGCGTGAGAAGGTCAAATTTGGGCATAATGTTATGTTTACGGGATATACTATGATAAATATACTACAACAATTGTCACAATTTGATCAAAAATCATTTTTTTTTTCATACGCCAGGGCGAAGCTCTATAAATCTACGTAGAAGTTTTAATCGCAAAACAAATACGTTAGTATCGTACGAGTATTTAACATTTCTTCAATAAATGTCAAATTTTGAATATTTTTGGAAGCCTAAATGTAGATAATTGTCGTCCCGAGTTTTTTCGAAAATATACGCAGGTATTAAATAGCCATGAAAAGAGAAGAGGGCAATCTTAGCTTTAGTGTGTTTCGTTTGTTATGTGTTATATTGCGATATAGACCGTTGAGGGCAGTATACCAAATTAAGCATCCCAAACCGTCATTTCAAAACTGGTTGGTTTTCGCTTTCCCTCACAAATCTAGAGCTTGTTTATTTATTACCATATTTGAATGAAGCTGTTTGAAATACAATCACGCCATCCCTTGCAAAAATGTTTAAATCTGTTTTATAGAGGGTAATGTAATGTGAAACTTCGTGTTTCAGAAACAAATTATTTTATCAACAATTGTGTCAATTAAAGCGGGGGAGTATTCACCTGCGCATGCGCCAGATGGCGTCTACCCATGAGCCTTTGCATTTTTAGCGTGTGTTGTTATCGTCCCTTGGAACTTAATTCCCGCGCGTGCGCAGGTGACGACCCTCCCGCTTTTATTTAATTCACCTTATCTTAATTTCATATTGAAGATCCGGGACAATATGGACGAGAACATGTGATTGTTAACATTGTTGTTTGATACTCTGTATTTGTCAATGCAATAGACAGTGATTTATCATGAAGTGAAAGCACTGGTACACATCTCAGTAATCGCTCGATAAAACACTGAAATTCTCTCATGCACATGCGCACTGGTTGTTTTGGTACGTACAATAACAATCACTGCACATGCGTAATACTGATTTTGATTTTTCATGTAACGAATAATGCTGTGTTTCCTGCAAACTGAACATTTTACCGATAGATTATGATGAATTATAGCCCGATTTAGTCTACCACATGGCGCGTTGAACAACAACATTAAAGCGGAAGGGTTGTCACCTACGCACGCGCGGGAATTGAGTCCCAAGCGATAACAACACACGCTAAAAACGCAAAGGCTCATGGGTAGACGCTTGTTTGTAAATAATGACACGTTACGACCATCTGATGCATACCCGGATGCATACGCAGGTGACGACTCCCCCGCTTTAAAGAAATGGACGTTCGTAATACTTGTATATTCTTAATTAGCTTCGGTTCGTTTCCAAATGTAGACCATGTATCAAACAGTCACTATGATCGGTAGCATATGATTGGTAGACCTGCCTGCTGATTGTGTCACAGTCTCAGTGGCTAAATCCACTGGCCGAGAGTCACTTACCAACGAGTGCGACTTAGCACTATGTCAGGAAATCGGTAGCGGTAGCGGTATACTTGTTTTCATTTTCTAATTGTGACTAAATGACTACAAATAGACCAGGAAAGTATATATTCTTAGAAAGCTTTTCAAAAGTGTATTTTGCATGCCCCTATCTGCATTCTACGACGCGTTACTCAATCAAAGGTGAAAAATTACATTTTAACCAACTTACAGGACATTCTATGTTATGTTGACTTTATCATATGAAAGGTTATAGTGCATTTCAGCAATTAATACATAAATGTGAAAATCGTTATTTTCAACACAAATAATAGTCTCGCTACCTTGAATCATTGTTTTCATGGAAACAAGTTCGGTTACCCACGATTTTATTTATGTCATTTCTTTTATTGAACATATCACTCAACACAGTATTAACAATTTATAGTGGTGTTATAGATTTCCACATTTTTTACTAGTTCATCCAATATTTTGTTTCGGTAAACCCATAGCTTTAGCCGCTCTCGATATGCCAGTCTCTCCAAATTGACTTTCCTTTGGTCATTTGTTATTGTACTGACATACATCATGGAGCTTGGTTACTCATATAGACTTAATACGAGCGGCATCTTGAGTGTTAATAACTCGTAACCATTTCATATTAACGCCAAATCAGCGATGACGGCCTTACCAAAACTGAAAAATACTCGCGACACACTCCCATACCCGCTTTTGGCGTGTTAAGATGTGTGTTTTTTTCAAAATATTTTGCACTTTTTTCGGCATCAAATGACGAAATGTTTGTCATTCAGTACTTTTTTATCCTATTTAGTACATTTTTGTCAATAAAATTATTACAATGTTTTAGTACTGTTACAAACTGAAGTCGGTGACAGACACTTCCCACTTCAAGGAATGCACGTGAAGGAATGGGTGTTTTTAATCAAACAGTTATCGCGCCATCACCTGGCAGACGCCACATAAACTTTTGTTTTTGCTCTTGTCAATTACCCTTAGAGGGGTCACTATATTTACAAAATGCGGCACCCCTTCGTTAAAGATGGCCGACCTTCGCAGATTGAGTGTGATGTGCTTTCGCGGTTGGTGTTGATTGACTGGTACCTGTGTAAATTCAAGCCCTATCTCCTAATACGAAACATATCTGCTTACAACGATTTCATTTAGCGTGTCTTGGAGCAAAAAACACATTTACGCGTGGCAACTGTGCGAGTAAGACAATTTTAAACAGTTACTTCCTGGTTGGAGACCGCGGACAGGTGAGTTTACTTAGTGAGTTAGTCCTGAACGTCGTTGCTGCCGCTAAGTTGACTCTAGACTTTTGTTATGTTATATTTCACAAACGGCAAGTAAGAACCAACTCAAAATATATACCGTATAGGTGATTGCTATAGATGTAACAGGAAACTGGAAACGCACGTACCAGAATAGAGTACACCCATGAGTGACTTCCGTGCTGGGTCGGTGACGATATCCGGAGGAGAATTTACCATAGGCGTCGTCGCCTGCACGGTCATATAAATATTGACTGACGTATGGATTCTTAAAACTCACAATGTCTACTAGTAACAATTATTTTTTTCTTTCCTATCTTTGAATTTGTGTCATCATCACAAAGATGTTGCTCTCCTTGACTTATATTTCTATGAGGAAGTTTCTCGAGACGTTAATTTTGCGGCTACTTCCGGGAGTTCATTATAGTGAAACTCTTCCCGATTTTGGTTGTGATTTTGAAGAGATTTGAAAAAATATATTTTGTATAGGTGATGATTATAGATGTAACAGGAAATTGACAATGCTTTTGAAGAGATTTGATTACCTCATCCATAAGCAAAATATGAATATTATTTATTTATTATGAGGGAAATTGTGTACCTACATTGTGTTGTTTTATAATTTTAAAGCAAAACTATGTTCAAGCAAGAGGGTTGTCACCTAGCACACATGCGGGAACTGAGTCCCAATCGACGATAACAACACACCCTAAAAATGCAAAGGCTCATGGGTAGACGCTTGTTTGTAAACAATGACACGCTATGGCCATCTGACGCATGCGTAGGTGACGACTCCCCCACTTTAACGTACACAGATATATTTACAATATTGAACCTGGGCCATAAATCATTTTCTGTTGCATTACCGCAAAACGGACACACTCGCAAAAACATCGCAAGCAGAAGTGTAGGCATTGATGACCTCCCATTGGTACACTGTATTCTCAAAGTGATACATAGGTATTGGCATGGTATCTTTAGTGCACCTTCAACACTGCCTTGCAATGCCATAATAAACAAATCTCAAAAAAATATTGTAAAATGCAAGCGTGCAAAATATCAACTACAGCAAGGTTTCTAATAAACAACGAATGTTTGTTTATGAAAATTTAACTTTAATTTTCACCTTACTGCAGATTAGTGTAATATTATAAAATTAATGTTTTGTTTGATTGAAAAATACACCAACAAACAAACAAGAGACTGTATGCAAGTCTAATTTAGGTCATGTGACTGACAGCTGTGAGGTATTGGACACACTGCTATAGTGAATAATTTACTATGGCACTCGTGTAACTATGTACTCTGACAATTATTGATTTTGAACAACTTTATTTTTACAGATATAATACGTGAACCTGAGGTGTTGATATTATTATATAGTCGAGATGTCGACAGTAAGTAAATTCCTTCTAGTCTATATTTTTGTATGAAGTGCTGACCACCCAAGGTACTTCTGGAAATTAGCCGTTATATGCAGTTTTATTAATCATTTTGTAAATAAAAATTAAATAGTTCAAGAGGCAGTTTGTCAATAGAAGTACATAAATAAAGTAAAATAAATGTTACTTGAGTAGAACACTAACTTACAAAATGTTAGCCTTTTTATAAAGGATAGTTTGAGTTTACTGGTGCCTGAAGGACAAACACTGGTCTTATTATTCAGTGGCTTTTATATATAGGCCATTTTATACATAAATCACAGGTGGTCTTTATATAGAAGAGGTCATTAACACAGGTTATACTGCAGTTCAAGTCTATTTAATGCCATGCATATATAATGTACACCTAGATTTATTACACCGTTTAAACCTAATAATCAAGATTATTTGATATATTCAGTAATTTCAAATTTCTGGAACTGTTTTTTATAAAATGCTATGTTCTGTGCCCCATATTCACCTCTGACCCCCAACTTACTCTACTACCCTTTGATCGTGACTCGTCCAACACTTCCTCATGGCTTGTCACCATGGATACAAATTACCTTCTTGATAGTCTATCCTTGTGTACAGTGAGAATGGAGTTTGTGAAGTTGTTTCTCTCCTCCACTGGCTGGCCATCTAGGAACTGCGATTCGGCATAATGGGAATACTGTAAAATAATTTATTTTAGCTGGAATTATTTTTCGCTGAAAAGATTTTTTGGGCATTTGTATGGAATTTATTTTCGCTGATTTTTGATGAATTGAATGTAAAATATAGGAAAAAACATATATTCGCTGGATTTTATTTTCACTGAATCATTCCTTCAGCGAAAATAGCGAAAACAAAGTATTTTACAGTACTCCCTTACAAAAAGACTGGAAACACAAACATTCCTCCTATTTAAAGTGGTGCCTTTGAAATGAAGACATCATAACTTTAATAAGACCTCTATTTTTGGTAGCTACCATGCATATTAACTGTGCTGTACAACTATTAATTATTTGTAAAGCATTCTAAGAACTGATTGTAGTACATAGCAGGTCAGAGTTTTTTTGTGGTGCCATGCGAAACCTGATGTGAAACCACATCTGGCTTCATCACCACTAGTAACAAGGAGTATGCCATAATTAATCATTCTAATCCTCCTCCTCCAGTGTTACCATAATATCACAAAGTTACGCGCAAGTTCATAGAGTATTGTGCTAGACTGTTATTACAAATTGTCCAGTTAAAACCAGTTGTGGACACCAATCACCAAACAAATAATTCTCATAAATTTGGTAATAATATTTCAAAATGTTATTCCCTCATTTCAGAATAACGAAGTCTGGCCCGAAGGCACCGAGTGTATTGCCAGGTACGAGTTCAAAGCTAGTACACCTGATGATTTACCCTTCAAGAAAGGAGACGTAATTACTGTAGTCAGATCAACTAAGGTAAAATATTGTTTTTCACTTTTAATGACTGTCATCCTCTCATGTAGTCACTCCCACTTTTTGGGTCAACTAAATTATTCACATTAAATTTTCATTTTGCACTTAACAAAATGTCCATAAAGGACACGGATTCACAGTAAGTTTTGTTAATTTAGTCCTCATAAGCGTTCTCAAATAGAGAAATTTTCGGAAGCTAAAATTGAATGGTTTACAATGTTTTTTTTCCCATTTATCAAGGTTTATACGGATGATCTCTTTAACCAGCTGTGAATTTATTTATACATTTGAGTACTCATAAATAACGCTGAATTATGAGTATTTAAATTAATTGTAGTAGCCTCGATTGTTCACCAAAGGTGATATTAAGGTGTTTTTTTTGTTTTGTTTTTTTTAAATTTTGCAAAAAGATTATTTATTGCTATACAAGTTCATATGTGAAAAAAAAGATAAATTGGGGGTGCGTATACAGGAACTATTTGGGTTCTCAAGTGAAAACTCCCTTGCGTCTACTTTGAACCCATCCACTTTCAGGGAATTGTATTGATCAACCTTGAAAGAAAAATATGCATCCAGAACATAACAGTTACCGTACTTGCTCTATTGAAAGTGCATCTCCAAAAGAAGAAAATGTAAATGTACTGTTGTATGTATTATATACTGGATTGTTAAAAATCTTACTTATTTTCCCCATACACATACTAATAGAGCAAATACGGTATTGGAATAATACAGAAAAAAAAATGTATTTTTGTCCTAAAATGCACGCAGAATTATATTGATGTACTGAATTGATGATATATGTTTGGACACATTCATGCACATGAAATGGATGTACCAGTTGTTCATCTCAAATGTTAACTAACACAAGCAAAAGTTTCTGGTTTCAAAACTGAACACTAGCACTGTGCAATTGTCAATCAGCTTTACTTGTATTATAAAACAAGGGTTCTGATCAATACATGACTTATATACACAATAACAATTATTAACGACGACGACGACAACAACAACGACAGACAAAATTTTATATTATATTATACCAGTTATTTAAACCATATGACTTACTTATAAATTACTGCATTTAATTCTGTGGTTCAAAAAGTTTTTAACAACAAGTTTTAATGCATCTTTGCAACAACGTATGTATTTCCATGGTCAAAGTCGAGTGTTATATGTTTCAATGGTAAATTCAACTTGACATCACGTTTGTTATCAGTAAGGCTATGACATGTATATAAAGTGACATCTATTGGTTTACATGAGATCAAAATTGTATTCATGCACTGGTTGATGAGAACAGCCATGGATGGTTGGCTTCAGCGAAACCGTGGGAATCAGTCGGTGGTTTTCTGGAAACCTCGTTATGTTTTTGAAAAAGTTTATTTTTATTCATATTAAGGGGCGGTGGTCGCCGCGCCACGTCCTGTTCGATATGGGACTCATAGCGACGTATACAATGTGTGTAAAATACATTGTGTATTTACATAAAATTCGTGCGTGATGACCACTGCCCTTAATCGCATACTCCTGGTACTTTTACAATAGTATCTCCTGTCCGAACATGTAGTGGTGTATGTTTAGTTAAAATCACTCTGACAACACAAAATCTGGAAGTCCAACCAAATAGTTCTATAAAATAATTATTTTTACCTTGCCCATACCATCAAAGATGGAAGGGAAAGGTATATTGAGGGAAAAATTTTGTCCGGCATTGTCGTTGTTGTTGTCGTTGTCGTCGTCGTCGTTAATAATTGTTATTGTGTGCATAATAACTTTACTAATTCTATTCCAAACTTTATCAAACTTGGTCACCTTATTCACCAGTATAAAGT